AATTGCACTGTACAAACAGTGCCCACGATATTTCGATGAGGAGTAGTTCGAGATCAAAATTTCAAAAAGATTATTGAATAATATACAATAATATACCGAATGTATAAGACAATCTGGCATAATATACCATAGAATAAAATCTTTAGTAAATTAAAAGCCAACATAAATTACGTCAAAAGCACCATTATAATTTTAGTAATGGTAAAATAGTAAATCTGTAAGTCGTCATTTTAATGGGTTTGGTAGTTTTAGTGTTAAATTTGTTTTCATGTAAATACAGTTGACAAAATTATTTACTCATTATATTTATGCTAGAGACAGAAATGAAACCAGATATACTCGAATGAAAAACGTTCCTTCTCGTTTATAATAAGAATAATTAAACATTATTTTCCAAGGAAAGCTGATCCATTTGGTTATATTAACTACAACATTTGTTATGCCATCCGTTGTACCTAATAAGACGAGAACATTTAATAATAGTACAAGAATTAAACTAACGAGTATCAAAGCAAGGGAGCATTTATCGAATGACAGTTTTTATCAGAACAGCGGTAATTTTTTAATTGGGTTGCTCGGCAAAGTTATCGATGCACCGTATCAATTTCACGTTTATTGTTGGTACCGGCGTTTCGTATCGATTGTTAATTGATTGCATTTCAAAACGCTCATGCACGCTGCCCGAATTATTTTTTCATCCGTAATGCGTTCACGGCGCAGCGGCGCATGTCATCGCGCATGGTTCCACCGTTTGTATATTTCATAGGAGGGTAAAATATGCAACTAGAAACCGGGGAATTGCCATATCTCCCATTAATCTGTCAGTTTAATTAGTTCTGTGTAAATAGGATAAGTTCAAATCCAGTTAAATGGAATAAATACTATGAAGTATATTAATTTCTCAATATAATATAATTTTAAGTTACTCAGTTATATAGAGATTATTAAACAATTAATTTTTGTAAGGAAACATTGTAATATCAAGTTTTAACTGAACCTTTCGTAGTATTTGTAAATACTATTCAAATCATAATTTCATTATATCTTATGCATAAATGGTGTATGTCTATCTTAACTAATAAGTCAACAGGGGTTGCTAAGTATATCATCTCAATATAAGTTGATATTGATCTATAGCAATATACTCGTAAAAATATATTGTAAGTATAATCATTCTCAATTATGATGTCATCATACAACTAATTATCATACTGACAGGGGAGTATATCGATTGTCAAAAATATTTTCGGTATAATCAGTCTATCCGGATATACATACTGATTTGAGGATATCAACTCTAGATTTACAACTATTTACAATATGACAAGATTGTTTCTAAACCACTAAATATTTTGAAATCATATTTACTGTCTATACCACTAATGCTTTCCAGTGCTCAACTTATTTTTACTGTGTCGCGTATAATACCGGATATCATAAAATCGAAAATTTCATTTATCAATTTATTCCCAGATTAGCTGTTGTTTAACAACAATCCAACAAATACTCCATCACGTGTCTGAAGTTTTCCCTTCGAAAAACAGTTTAATCATTTAAAATTTGCCGCTTTTAAGCGGCTCCGAGTCGAAACAAATCGACAACGCTTGCAAACGTGTGAAAAATCCCCTGATATTTTCACGAGTACACAACGATTTGCGCGGAATGATGGCAAAGGGGGGGGGGAGGGGAAGGGTGTGAAAACAAGGTACGTGCGTGACCGAACCGGAGGCATTAAATTTTCATTAACGGAAATTACGAAGCGGGCCACGCCGCTTGGCCGTTGATAGTTCCAGCAATTATTTTAAGCGGGGTCTGTATAAATCAGCTGGCCGAACGAAATGAACCCTGGATAACGGTCCGAGTCGAATGGTGCCGGGGGCTACATGTCCACGGACCAACGACCATGGTCTCGTAATTAAAAACGAGAAAAAACATATGTATAATGGTTCCCGCTCCGCCCCGCAATTTGTTCAAACTGCGATAAAGTCGTACTCGGTCGTCGATTTGTCAGAAACTATCTCGGTTACCCCAGTACAAATAAAATTATCTGACGTTCGTTCCCTTTTTTTCCTGTACACTGGACATTGGTACTGGGTTTTCCCTATCTGGTGAAAAAGTGCTTGAAAGCTTTAGAAGGTTTTACCTTTGGTACAAATATAGTACAGTAGTGCCCTGTATACATACATATATATAGAAGGTATTCGAAATGTGACAAAATAACTCGTCCCGTAAACCTAGTGTTAATGAGGTTTAGCACAGTGATAGAGCTTGGAATTCTGAAGCTAATGATATTTTGTTTCAGTCGCATATGGCCATTGGTTTATGAAATATGTAATGTTCAGTACCGAGGAGCCTTCGAACACTCATCGGAGATTTACTGTATGTGTTTATACATATACCATACATAATATTTATTGATTTATTATTCTTATCTTTTTACTTTTCAGATATTCAAAGTTATTCAATTTTGTCACACGCATTAGCAACAACCATATTTTGTTAATTCTTGAAGAAAACAGCCAGCCATTGGCGAAAATTATTCGCAAAAACTACACGGTCGTCCTACTGTTATGCGAATGTTTTTTTTTGTTCATACTGTTTAGTGATTCGAATGCAATTACTGAAATTGTATTTTCTGTGAACACAATCTATTGCGTTCCGGCATTTCACAATAGACTATTGTTCGGATAAACGTACCACCGATCGTGGAGTCTGTCGCGTTTTCCTTTAGACGCGTTGCGTTCTCATCACGGGCAGAATTTCATTAAGGGGAGAAAATAGGACGATGCACGAAGAGATCCTCACGATCCAGGATGGCAGCAATATTGTGAAGGGACTGACATAAAACGGTTGCGATACGTATTGAATCCTTTTTCTTTGTCTTTCTGGGAAAAGGGGGAGGGAGGAGGACGCAATCGCTGCAGGCGACACACACTTCGATTATTTTCGGAACGCGCACAGTCCTTTTTTCGCAGCGAGAAAGGGCCCCAATAAATCCGTGTTACAATCGACGATCCGTTATTTAGCCCCTTTATCGAAACCTAGAGCCGATTTTATTCGTTTCGGAAGCAAATTTCCATACTGAACCGTACAATGTGGCGAGATTCTGTTGCATTTATAATTACGGACGTCCAAGTAATCCAGTGGGGAGTGGGGGGCGTGGTGAATGAAACCTATTAAAACGGTGAAATGAGATCGAAGTATTCAGAAACGACGTTCAGATCGATGTTGATGGTGGAATTTAATTGACAGGCTTCGATGAAACAATAGCAGTTGGCAATATTACCTTCAGCGGGATCTCACCTGATATAATTAATGAATAAACAGTCTGGAAGAGCTGTTAAAGGACTTCATATGAACAGTAATTTAGACAATTATTCAGAATATTGAAATGTATAGTGGTGTATTAAAATTATTAATTCTTAATAAATAGTTTTGTGGGTTTATATATTAATCTGAAACACACAAATAAAGCGTACCTTTTCATAGAATTTAATAGAATTTAAATTGTATATTTATGCTAATGAAACCTTAAGGAACAAAAAATAATTTCTGTTTAATTGATACTTTGCTGGATTCCTCTGTAGGGAAGTGAAATTGGATGAATATCTACATTCTACTGATAAAGTATTAATCGGAACTAAAATAGTAAAACAAATATCAAATGAAATTCTCATGTCAAATTATGTGGTGGTGTCTGTATTAAAAATAATTTCCTGTAGGTCAGAATTAATCCAACATTCTTTTTTCTACGAATTTTAACTTTAATGAAAACTCTTTTTGTTGCGTACTATTTTGAGTATTATTTCTTTTGTTCAATTTGAAATACAAAAATAACAAAATAATTCATAATTTGAACTTAGCAATTTCAAATGAATCGATGATATTTTCAGTTTCAAATAGCAGTGTTGAAAATAAATTATTGCAAATAGTTAATTCTTATTTTCATTTCAAATAAAATTTGTCCAGATCTGGTTTACACCCAGTGCACTTCGAACTTGATCATAAAATATTTAATCTGTGCTTAGCTGAAATGTTACCGTCACAGCGGAAGACAATAATTCAATCTTCTAGATATAGATATTTTCATCCATAATTGAAATCATTTTTCCACAAAGAATTCCAATATTTTCGTTACCTAAATCCCAGAGCTATAAAGCAATTTTTACCGAGCGAAAGGAAATAGGAATCACAACGATGAAAAATCACAGTCGTATCATTTCTTAATTAACTCGATTCGTACAATTTTTCCTGAAAATTTCTTCCGTTTTCGAATCCGTTCTTGCTCAGAGAAACTACACGAACGTTCGATTCCTGGCGATCCGTCACGGTTAACGCTGGTCGTCGCGGCGCCACACTCGATTTACGAGGATTACAGACCGCTTATTGCCGCGCGCGCCCCCCTCTACGGGGGTGCAAACGAGCGTGGCCAATCCTACGTGCCATCGTCGTATTAACGCTTTTCCGTGCTCGTGTCGTCGCTTCGGCGATGAACGACATTGAAACCAAGACCTCTCGAAACTGTCCCTTCCCGGCCCGTACAATCGATCAGCTCCATTGAATTTTCTTTCTGCATTTTGTAGTCGGTAATTTTATACGTTAAACGCGTTAAATAACGGATTATCGAATTGTGGATCAATTTTGATTCGATCTTTGAAAGAGAGTTTGTAATTAGAATTGAGAAATATGAAAACATAAAAATAGGACTAGTACGTATTTGGTATCTTTATTTATTTAAAGAACCTTTATTTAACATTTCAGAGAAAATTGACGACAGTGCGATATCCCATTTATTTTTACCAAATGAAAATAGTAGTGTATTTGAATAATATGTGACTATGATTAAAATACATAGTGGATAGTACTTTATTTGATTATTTAGTTGTCCTGTCTTATACTTAAAACATGTCGTTTTATTTTGCAATTGAAATATATGATTTTCCAATTCAAGAATGGAGGACTTACGAGTTGCAGTAGATGTAATGGAATAAATTACTCACCGTTTTCTTCAGACGAGATATCGGTGACATATTCAGGCCAGCAATAATTGCCATCAGTGAATTGAAGTTGCCGATATTGAAACATTCACGAGCTGTTTCAATCCAGTATTCAACCACGCGAACACGTTGCTTCTTTTTTGCGTGCTGTAGAATAGAAAATATCATCTTTCAATTTAGTCAATCCTTTTCAGTACCAAAATAATTGCGTGTGAAATAGAGTACCAAATATTAGTTTTTTTCGATCAAATTTGACACTATCTAGCACAACATTCTATAATGTTTTAATTATTCACGTAACGTTTGACTATTTCAATTAATATTATGGGACAAAGTATAATGTATGAATTTAATAATATTTTGAGAACAATATTAAATACTTTGTTTGCTTCTATATAGATTTCATGTTATTGTTTACCTTGCACACTTCAGTTGCTACAAAATAGCTCAGTCTATTAAACCATTGGACGTAAGATTCGAGGTTGCGTGTTTTCTTCATGTCCTTAAAGGATGTTTCCAGATGAGGAGATTCCTATGTAGATAAAAATAAAACATTATAGTTAACGATATAGTTAAACTAATTATTGACGAAGCGAAGAAACGAATTCTTTAATGCTGGCGGAGAGTGATTCAACATGTTGACAGAGTTACAGAATTCGTTGGCCAACCTCAAAGCACGGTCGAAACAACCAAGTTGGCCATACTGAGTACAGTGAGTTTTGATATAAAATAGGTTATGATGACGAGAGTTTCGAGATGGTACATGAATATTTAATAGTTCTATAAACTCCGATCAATTCACGTAAATGTACGCAAATATTCATGTTGATACTGGTATGAAATTGATTCAGAAGTTTCTGTGATAAAGAATATCAATGCGAGTGGTTGACGACCCAAGCGAAATTTCATATTTCCCGGCATTTCCTCCGACTATTTTACTTTTACTGAAAAAAAATTTGAAACATTTAACTTAACGAACATTGTATACTATACTAGAGACTTCGATAAGTATCCCAGAATTTTCTCACATTTTTTGAAAGTTTAAACGAATACAAAATTTAGGCTTCGACAAAAACGATCCGGTTCACCGATGGAGCCTTAAACATCAAAGTCTGAGGTTCCGGTCAAATGGACCCGAACATTGCACGAGGGATAAGTGGACGTCATAAATCCAGAAAATCCAGATCATCCTAACGACGACGATCAGGAGTATAGCGTAGGACACGTACCTTCGCGAAAGCTTGGACGAATTCTTCGGGACCGATGTAGGAGAGCCTCTCGAGTTCCACGTGGGTTAGTTGCTGCGCTAGAACGGTGGCGGAGGGACACAGCTCGGTGATGTCCACCTGAAAAACGACGTGACAGTTCCATTCGGTTAAAGTGTCGAAGAAAGCGTCCCCGAGAAATCGTGGGAAACGGGTGGAGGGTGACGGAAAAGGGGTGAGACGACGACACGGGTAGGGCAGAACGCGATGAATGGGGAGAACGAGGGCGTCAACGAGAACTCGATTCATGGCGAACGCGGGAAAGACAGAAAGCGGAAACGGCCGAACGTGCGGGGACGTCGCGACGCCTCTCTTCTTTTCCTTTCCAATTTCACGTCCTCGTGCTCCGTCGAGCAAATTCGAGCTGGTTCTTATCTGCGCCAACCACAGTTCCGAAGTGGTTCCGGGGGAACCGTCGTCGTCGTAGTCGTCGTCGTCGTCGCGACGCTCTCGGACAGGACCCCGATAAGGATCTGGCGACCGGCGTTATGTACGGTGTCGTTTCGTTCCGCGGATTCGACCCGATGCTAAGCACACCGTGCGTCCTTGTAATATCGCGTGCACACGATAAAAGTCGTCCCCAACTGCCTCATGGAGGACCATCGGATATTATTACGTATGATTTTTATTTTGGGCACAACTTGGCGGTATGAATACGCTATCTTCAGGTGGCTTTCACGAATTTAGAAATTTAGTTGAATATTTAACAGAACATTCTTGATAGCGTTAACTTTAGATTGCTAGCAAAAGATCGGAAGGTCAACGGTAAAATTATTGAAGAGACGTTTTAAAAATTTCTTTTTAACAGGAGCTTTATGGAACTGTAGTTAATACTGAGAAGTTAATCACTTCTTATTTAGTTATAACTAAAGACATTTTCATAAAAAACTTTGTGGTTATAGATTTTTTACAGAGAGTATCAAATAAAACTAAAAATTATGATCAAAATATCTGATTATACTGACTATGATCATTAACATAGTCATGTACATCAATTATCATGACAAGATAATTGAGTATGATGCTTACACTGAGTATGCCGAGTGTATAATTATATCGATATAGATCAATATCAACTCATACTGATCTGTTATAGTCAACACCTCTCGTGGAATCATTATTAATTAGGAGACGTATTAGTGAGCCTAGGATTACAGCATTTATTGTACATGATAGAATTTTAGATCTATCTGCCTATGATCTGAACGATAATTTATTAAAAATGGGCTTACACCATTATTGCACCAAACGGCTTAATTATTCCAGTATGTCCGATAGACGTTGCACGCAATGTGTCTTATTCGTCATACGACGAGATTATCGCGCACATTTCCTTATTGCCAGGATGATCGGTGATGAACAGTGTGATCGTTCGCTCGTTAAACTCGAGACGGAAAGACTGAGGAGAGAGGACTTCGATGAGAGCACAATGGATCTCGACTATCCCCATCGCAGGCGACGTTCTGCGCGCAGCCGTACGAAAGCCACGGCAATTATTTATGCCCATCGTCGCCATTGTAGCCCCGGCCCGGTGTGAATGAAAGGAATAAGTCCGGCAGACATTTCAATTTGAATCGAACGCCCGGGCCATTCATACCCGCCTCCTCGTTGGACGGAACGACCCCCGGAAAATTTATATTCTCTCGCTCAACTTGTCCCACGAAATAACAGGGTGGAAAACGCGTCGCTGCAAACACTGACCCATATCGCTGCCGGCTGCCGGCACGAAAAAGCGACGGGATTCCAGGTATTCCATCGTCATCTATCTCGCCTATTATTCATACTTTTATTGGCGTCTGTTCTTTGTTTCGCGTATTTTTTTGTCCCGTCGAAATTCCCACTCCTGCCCCGTTGCGACACCCTCTTTTCCCGATCGATACGTCGGAAAAGTTATTATACCGAGGTTTTCAGAAATGGCTTCCTGATGAACGTTTTATGTGTCTGTTAGGTATTTTATCTTTTGTTTTTTTTTAACGGATGACAGAATTAACGACGATTGAGGATATACATATTCTATTGGAGTGGTAAAAACGATAACAGGAAGTACGTTTTAATAAATTAATTAATTTAATCAGTTACATTTTGTAGAAAAGGGCGCACAATATTTAAGACAATGCATTGTCATAAATTTCAGAATTTTAGTATTATTCTTACGGGATGTCATGTAACTGGGTGTGGGATATATAGAATAAATTTCTTCATTTATGACTTTATTTTTAAGAAAATCGATTTTGAAGATCTGCTGGTTACGCATGCAATTTAAGTGGGACTTGGCTAACGTTACACGCGTTACAGTTGAATTTTCTAACTAGATTTTCTCAGAAACTAATTCTCGAATGAAGAAATGTTAATGTATATTTAGGACTTATTGTTTCATGTAGAATTACTCTCTACCTGGTTGTGACACCAACTCTAACTTAACAATTTTATTAATTTGTTATGTTGAAGCTGTATTGCATTAATAGAGGTGCAAATCGGAATAATTTTGAATTTTTTAGTCAATTGTAATAAAATCTTGAATAAAACATGGAACTTAAAATAAAGAAATTTGTCAAAATTTTATTTAATTTAGTAAGGAAAATAAGAAAACTGATAGTTTAATTGCATTAAGGTGAACTAATAGTTGCAATATTGTTACGATTAATTTAGGGTGTGGTTCGCTTATGTTAATTACTATTAAGTTTAATTATTTTACTCGACACGCGGACGGAATGTAATTATTCCTCTGCAAAAGTTTCGACAATTTTTTTTCTACCTACGCGTTAAGGAATTATCAACAGTTAAAAATGGCAATTAGCGCGGTCAGATTACGTAGAGATAATTGCTCGAGTTGCCATAATTAGCCGGCTGTTATTCACGTTTCAACGAAATATATGGAAATTGCCGGAAATTGCGGTTCACGGTAACAATCAAGCAATCGCTAGATTGCTGAAAATTCTCTAACTACCTCCTTTCTTAATTTCACCGTCATCGAACGAAGTTATTAAACTGCCTTAATTAACAGAAAATGAGCCAGAAAAAGTTTTTGTTAATAATGATATAAAATTTCACAGGATATAAATTTTGTTTTTCAAGTTTATTAAATTGAAGTAATTGGAGTATACTGTACTTATAGAATTCCACATCAGTGATTAATATATCAGGTTTAATTTATATTTCGACAAATTCATTCTGAACGTAATTAATTTAAATATCTCATTAACCAATTTCAGCAATTATTCAGCCATTGAATCGGTAAAAATTTTACAGTCAGTGAAGTTAAATTTAGACATTACTGAAAGAATTTTGCCTATCGTTTAGTGACGCAGTTTAAAATGAAAAAAGTATAGAATATTAAACTACTTTCCTTCAAAAAAATTTATAGAATGTAATGTTTGGGATGTAATATAGAATTTCGGAATACCGCAAAAAGGGCTGAGGAATCTTTTTAGAATAATCCCGTTGTAAGGATAAAGAACGTCAAAGACATGATAAGAATGTACAATATGTATAACAAAACGGGTTACCGATGCATCAGCTGGCAAAGGGCTACTTTGTGAAGCGTTATACTTTTCCTCTCTTTAAGCGTTTGCATTCCATTCATGAGGCATGTCATGCTTTCAAGATGTCGTTCTTCACTTATGTGGACATGCGGCGTTAGTTTGATGCTGATAAGAGACAAGTCCAATAAGCGTTTACTTATATATGTTATAATATAGCATCCATATAGCATTATTAATTTGCTACAATAATTTAATAGGAATCACAACTTGGTGAGGTCAATGGTATGAAATATGTAATAACTAGACTGCGGATTTTATGTATTTATCGCATAACGAAGTATGTGAAATGCAATTGAAAATAAAACTTGCATCGGGTTGAGTGCCCATCAACGTAAATTAATTCAGTTTTTAATACAACAGGGCAACAGTCAGAAAGACACTGCAGTGATTGTCAGTCATTAAGACAAATGACGGCCCAAAAAAAATATTGACAAAATTAATAAAAAATGATTCGTATCACATTTCATAGGTTCATTTCCTCTTAATACATATTTGTAAAGAACCCATATTGTAAGGGGGGTGCCTAATACTTTTGGCCAAGGCTGTAGTTTCTTCCTGAGAATTGTCTTCGGTCACGTTCTTTTACTAATTCGCATTTTCTTCAGCATTTAATTAGCAACAATAAAGAAGTCTGTCCTGGAATATCAAGCGATTGAAATGCTCCGTTCCGTCCGACCGGAACTTCTCCATTGTCCACGAAATCAAAGGAACCACGCCGAGGCGTAACCCGCGAGAATTAGACTTGACGACTGCATTTAAATATCGCCTTTCATCGGACGTTTCTATAAAACGTCATATCATTTCCTTGACGCGATAAAAGTAAGAACCGTCAGTGGAGGTGGGGGGAGGCTCGAATAAGATCAGCGAGCCGCGTGATTCGGTTACGAGCGAATGACGTTTCCGCGACCTCCGTTTCTTCGAATTAGATCGTCGATCGACTTATCAACGAACGGAGGGGTGGAGGAACCCCCCCCTCCCCCCGGGCCGATATGACGTGAACGGAAAGATTTCGACGAGGACCGTCTGCGACAGCATTGATTCGAACTACTCGGAGCAAAGAGAGCGCGACAGGAAGCGTTTCATTTACGTGCAAATTCACGTAATATGAAGTGGGATCCAACATTTAATGGACGTTTATCAGATTCACGAAGGTCGAAGGAGTAACTATTGCGAGAAATTTAGGTGTTCAAGTTATCGTTTTATTAAAGAATTTGCTTTCACATCGTAGAATTTTGATGGGTGGGTCTCTAGTAATTTCTCAGAGAATTTGGTGAGAAATACTGATTATTCATTGGTATATAATATTTCAGATTACAAACACAACTGTGTAGCAGAAATAGAACATATCGTATACGTCCGCAGAACAATATTTGCTTCGTTAAAACGACATCAAGTAATAATAATTGCCTAGGATGCGATTATGCAAAATTGATAGTGACGCGTTTTAATAATTTAAAAGCAAGGATTAAATTCGATTCCCCGTTAATTGAATACAATAGCATGTAACAGAGTTAATATGGATTTTAACGCGTATTATCG